TATAACTTGTACCCAACATTACCACAAGAATTAAGTAGAATAAGAAATATTAGTCAAAACCAAAATACAGTTGAAATAAATAGACAAATTATACATCCACGAAGAAATAGAAATTTCCAAACCCCCGAGTTCATTTTGATATACCCCAATCCCCATCACCAATTACTCCAGACAATAGCACATTACCAGAAACCCCTACACTTCTTTCACAACGTAGCACCTCAAGTATACCCTCAGATTACTTAGGTTCAACACCAACATCTGAACAAATACGTGACAATCCCTTTAACCCCCCCCCCCCCCCAACCAAACATCACGACTACCATATTGGACAACACACTCATTCACACAAGGTGAACCAAATTTAATAAATGACCCAATAGATATTTCTACGGATACAACAACATCATCATCACTACCAGATACATTATCACTACCATCAGCACCATCAATAAGCCAGATTTCACCGACGCCTTTCCCCCTAAATTTTCCAAATAACCTCGACGCTAGATATCGAGAACAATCATCAACAAATATCCCTTTAAGATTAGATTGGAACACGTTCACAGCACCCCCACCATTATTTGGACAACATCCAGAAAGTAACCGACTCCACAATTGGGCACTCCATAGACTACAATATAGACAAGACATCCACAAAGACATTCGTGACCATAACATCCAAATACTCCAACAAAATAGCCTACAATTAAAATTCGAAATCACGGTTTATTTTAACAACATTGTTCAACATCCTTACCCATTAAACCCACCCAATATAACAGCGAGTATCTACGAGTTAAATTTTTGTTCCGACCGTCTGAAATGGGTAAGAACTTCATATACGAGTGTGTTTTAGTTTTTTTTGTTTGTTTTGCTTCAATTTTTTTTATTCTCTACGCAAGTACCACAAATAATTATTGAAAATAGTCGAGAGATATATCTTATTGAAGCCATTTCAAATGTGATTCGAATGACAGTATTAATTTCCAAAAAAAATTCCAATGTTAAAACTGGTTAAATTTTTTGATTTTTAGTTTAACTTCGAGCGAGTAAAGCAAGCAAGCATGTTTTTTTAGCGAGGGAGCTTTGTAAATGGCCTAAACTAAGCCTTCAGGTCAATAATATTAAGTTAATTTTGCTTAATTTTATTTTTATTTAAGTAAAACTTGTTTTCGGAGATTTTAACGCCATTTTGAGAATCAAAAACTTCGAAAATTCAAAAGCTTCCGCAAAAATTGCTTCAATAGCTTAAATGGTTTGCTTAAAGAGAGTCTTTGAAGCAGTTTATGCAAAGGACGACTTTGTGGAACGTTTCATGTTTTTTGAAAGATTAATAGAATGAATATAATGACTGTTTCTTGGCATGTTTTGAGCAAGCTCTTAAGAAAATGAAAACCTCTAAACTATTTTCCAACTTTTGTTAAAGCGTAAGTGGAAATGCAAGTGTATGTTTTTAAAGAAAGCTCACCGAGCGAAAAATTGTACAAAAAATTTCATGTTGTTATTATTATAACTTGATTTGACTGACAGTAAAAAAAATTCAACGCTTTGTTTTTTTCTCAATCAGACAGTTCATGCAAAAAACTTTTTCATCAAGTTATACAAACAAGCAACCTTTTGGAAAGACTTAGTTGTAATTAATTAATGATTGAAACGGTTAGCAAAAACCTACGACTTTTATCCCGCAAGTCTTTTAAGTGATGAAAATTTCTAAATTTTTCGAGTCATTTCCTACAATGAATCGATTCGCAAAATAATTTAACACTTCAATCGTTTCTCATTATTTTTAAGGTGTAAAGAAGAATTTTACAAGGTAAGTATGAGAACCAAATATATTTACCATGGCCTAATTAGTCCGTATGCCATTTTTTGAAATAACTGTAGTAAGTAATCAAAGTTTTTACACATAAATTTTCATAGGTGGGCAAGAAGAAAAAGAGCCATCTGAACGCGTAGAATAAGTTTGAAATATCAAAAAAATTCACTTTCCTATCAGCGAATTCAAAGAAATACATTTCACAAATTAGAAAAAAAAACAGTTTCCGAATTAGTTGAAATACTAAATTAGTCGCTTTTTTGTTATGATTATTGGCTGATGAAATCATTTCCCGAATCTGTAAAATCGTATAATTTCGGCACAACCTTGAACAGCAAAAGATCTCGCAAAGTTCTCAAAGTCATAGCTCATGAATTACATTCTGAAATTATTTTTATTCAAATTTAAAGGCAAGCTTATACTTGAACGGCAGTAATATCCACCCTCTAACACGAAAAAACGAGAGCTAATTTCACAGAGGGACGTGTCAGTTCGCTTGTAACGGTTTTCATGTCCCACCCCTTTTTCAGTAATTTACCGATACGGGCGAGTAGGTAGTGCATACGTGGACTGTAAGGCTAAGTAATGGAACTTGATCTAAACTATTTTATGATTGGATAAATTAGATATTTTACCACTGTAAAGTATTTAATATTAACCAATCATGATCCATCTAACTAACAACCCACTTATTTGTAAGTGCTGAAATTACTTGTAATTTCAGCACCAGAGAGATTTGAATTTAACTTAGAAATTAGTTGTCTCTCCAAGAGAACTTCAGCAGCCGCAACAAACCAGTATACCCTAGATCTATTGAGCCTAGCAGAGACTAGTTAAACACCCTGAGACTAGAAAGTATAAGAGTAAGATTAGGATCGGTATTAGACTAAGAAGTTGCACGAATCTATCCGGCCGAAAATAAGATAGCGTGACGAGCAGACGGTGTACCCTATCCGAAATTACTCTATGAGTTAACCACATCGGACCTAACTCAGTAACACAAACCAGGTCACTAAAACTTAGACTAATGTGCTCAAACTCTTATTGCGGCAAGGTATATTCATGCTACCGCTTTCTATAATCGAGACATTTTGAAAACATAGTCACCAAAAATTTAGCTGTGTATAGACCAAGTTTGAAGTAGATGGGTTTCAAGGCCTCTATATTACGCGGGTTTAAATTCACAGCAGTGATATTTCTTGAACTAATTTTTGATTCGCAACACCTTATCGGTAACTCTCCTATTGGCTAGAAGTTCATACAAAACATGCTTGACACTTCTCAATAATCACTCCCAAACTCCGTCATGATTAATTGAATTGAATTTTCTTTCAATTTTTTTTGTGCGAGTACAGCGGAAGCAAGTTTGTTCCACTTTTAATGCAAGTTGAAAATTTTACCAGCACTAACAAAATTTGTGTAATTTTTCGGAAATAATGGTTTTATGGCTCATCGCGCATTCCAAACGATCTAAGTCCGTTTTGCACAGACTTGTGTCCTGCAGTGAGAGCACTCAAATTTGAACTGCATTGGTGATGCAGCAAATAAACAAAATCTCCATCTTTTTTAGTAGTTTTCCGTATGAGAACTTGAAGCGGTCAACAGTAACCGACAGCTGAATTAGCAAAAGAAGGCTACTTGAAACCTAATATTCGAACCGGTAGATCCGACTTGATTGAAATGACTCTGACTTGATTGAAATGACTTAAAATTAAGTTTATTGGGCCTAAATTTCCTTTAACCGGTTCTTCGCGACACTAAAAAAAATGTTGTGAATTTTTTATGTGGTTCGAATCACGACTGAAAGGTCTTTAATATGATATATCACTGAACCCGTCCGATCATTTTTTGTGGTACCTGATTATGCGTGGAAAACCAAAAGAAAGAAGTTAAAACGCACCCAAATACAAAGAGCCCCCATTTTTAAACGTCGAAACAAAAATAAATGAACCTAATCGATTTTAAAAAACTATAATGTTACTATTTTTCCAAACAATAAAATCTAATAAAAATGATTATGTTGGATTTTATTTGATTTTAAATTATTTTGTTTTATTAATATATCTTTTGTTTTAATTTAGTCAGTGAGTTCAAACATTTGTCAGCAAACTTAAAATTTGAGTGTTTTTTTTGCAAAACAGACGTTGAAATAATTCAGGTGAATTTTCTTAAAATTTAAAATGGTCAACATGAGTTGCGGAAAGTCGCAACATCGTTGGCGCAAGGTCGCAAAATGCGTCGTATAAAGTCGCAACATGGGTCGAACAATGTCGCAACATGAGTCGCGCGGAATGTTAGTCGCAACATGGGTCGTGCAAAAGAGCTAAAAGGGTCGCGCAAAGACGCAAATTGAGTCGCACAAAAACTAGTCGTCACATGGGTCGCGCAAAGTCCCAGCGTTAGTCGCTGGAAACAATAACCGCAGCGTGGGTCACGCAAAGTTGCATAATAGGTCGCGCAAAATTGCAACATTAGTCGCGCGAAACAATAGTCGCAACTTGTGTCGCGCAAATTCGAAAAATGGGTCGCGCAAAGTCGCCAAATAGGTCGCGCAAAGTCAAAATATGAATTGCACGAAACTTTAATTGCAACATGGGTCGCGCATTATAAAAATTTTCGAGCTGATTAAGTAGTAAAACAGTTGTTGGATTTTTTTGCTTACATAAGCGTGTTACAGATGCACATTAGGCATCCATGGGAAGACCTACACTTGGTCCCAAACTAAAATATGAGCAAAGTTTTTGATACAACAATAAAATTGCTAACACGAAAACTGAAAGCTAGAAACCATTGAAATCAAACATACATTCGAAAAGTTAGTTTCTGTTACAGCTGTTTTTTAGGTTCAGTTGAGCAATTTTGCCTCAACTGCTGCTTTTTAGGATACAGTAACATGTCTTTTTTATAAAGCCTACCAAAGGTAATTTTCTGGGATGTTTTATTAAGTGTTTTAGTTTCATCTTAAATTTTATTATGGCAATTTTTTTGATGCTACTGGAAACATAAAACAATACAAACAAAAATCCAGCTGAGGATAGAAGGACTCAAATGCTCATTTATTGATAAGAAGTTAAATAACTGACTCTCCATGAGAAAAAAATATTCTAGTTAGCTCAACGGTTTATGAACTTTAATACCTTGAACTTCAAACAAGACCTCAAACAAACAAACAAACCTCGTCAAAATCTGCAACATTTTCAGATTTTGAATTTGAAGAATGATTTATCTATTTGCTATTTTTGCTGTTAAGTTCAGCCCTTTTGAGTCTTTCTTTACAAACTGCCCAACCGAGCAAAACTCTTTTCCATTTCAACCTATTTTTTTCATAATTTTCCCCATAATTTATTTGAATATTTTGTTCAGGGTCATTTGGTTCACGCTATCGGTTTTAATCCCGCAACTAATTTCAAGTTTCTTTGATAACCAATCAGCTTTATTATAGAAGTGTTAGTTTTTTTTCTCCTGTATTTGGGAGTTGGTATATATGTAACTGGAAAAGAGTCTATTAGTCTGAAACCTGTGAACGTGAGTGAACAGTTGTTATCTGGAACTTGGTTTGCCGTCAGGAGATCTTTTCACTATCCTTACTTCGAAAGAAACGAGATTTGCTCGTGGACATTTCAAAGCACGGCTGCATGTCGAAAATTTCAATTTCAATTCGAAAAAACAAACTTTGGTTAGTTTAAGAAATTATTGTTTCAACGAAAAATCTATTTGTCTTATACGGGCTTATATGGACTAAATTTTCAGATCACAAGTTGAAAATACAACTGATTATTTGGCCTTCATCTTTTTTTACGAGGTTTATTGTTCCGACCATTGAAAATGGGGACGAAATTTGTATTCGGGTATTTTAGTTTTCTTTTTCCACGCAAAATCAGCTACTACAAATAAACATTGGTCTGGGTTGAGTGGTATATCATATAAAATCCTCTTCAATTGTGATTCGTAGTACATTAAAAAGTTTTTAAAAAGTTCACCCACTATCCAGAAAAACTGGTTTGAAATTTTAGATTTTTCGTCTAAATTAGAGCAAGTGAGCAGGCTTTTTTAGTTTGAGTTTATTTATGCTTAAGTTAAGCCTTGAAAACTTTTTTTTTTCTAATTAAGTTAGTTTTTGGAGTTTTTGGCTTCATTTTAGGAATCAAAAGCATCAAAAATTTGGGACAAAAATATTAAAAAACTTTTAAAAAAAACTTATTTTTTTTCTTGTTATTTGTCTTCAAAAATTGTTTTTAAATTTGCATATTTTACAATGATTGACGAAAAGGCCTAATCCATACTTTTTCGCTCAGATTTTTTTCTCACACCTTGCCGAAACAACGACACTAATTTGAAAAATAATTTTGTTATTTTTTAAGACTGGTCGGAACATTCTGCGCTACTTGCACAGTAACCCGCTATCCTTGTTATTCTATTGTGTTTTCTTGTTAATCTCAACTTAGTGTCGCGAAAGAAGTGGCGACATTGGACAAGAGAAAATCCTAGATCCGCCCCTGCACAGATACATATATACAAATGCATTTTCCTTTCTCTATGGGAACATTAGAGTTTTGATAAATGAAGGAGAATCACATGATCAAAATACAATTCAGGAAAGTTTTCTTGTAGAACGTTTTCAATTTGCAGAAAAATCATTTCAGTTAATGAAAAATTAGTTTAATATCTGCAATTCAAAAAAAACTATCGAGTAATTTCAAGGTTGAGTTATCTAGAATGGAAGTTTTTTCCAAAATGGAGTTGGCAAAGGATCTGACTGTAGAAGTTTATAAAATATAGATACGTTTTTTTTCAAATATAGGTTCTTATGTTAATGCATGTTGAACAACTGACACAAGTAATAAAAAATTAGTAAAAACATCAGATGATTTCAATTAATATATTTGCAAAATCCACACAAAACTCAAAACTGTATATTTTTCCGAGAAACATCTCAATTATTCTTAAACCTTCTCAATATTTTTCTCAAAATATTTTCTCAACCCTCTGAAAAATTGCTAATTAATTGAGATGACGGGACAACAAAACGACAACTTTTCGAAAACATCGTTCAAACTTGTGAAACCCGAAAAGTGTTTTTATGAAAAAAGGTTTTCAATTTGTAGAACTTTTAACTCAAACTTATGAAAGCACACTTTAAAATGATTATATCCTTGTATATTCAAGTTTTGAGTTACTCTGAATCAAAAATCTTTTTTAATTGAAGTTGTCTGTTTCGAACTTTTTTTTTCATTTTTTTAAATATAATGATGGTTGCGAATCAGGTAATTCTGAAATTTTTTTAATTAAGTTTAAAGTTTGAGTTATCGAGAAATGTTTGTTCAACAAAACAATTTGATTTTCGAGCAAAAAGCTCAGGAGCTACTGGATGCAGTAATTAGACAATTTAACACAGCTATTTTAAAGTTGCGTTATTCATATTAGTTGCATGTAATAGCATGAATTTCAAATATCTTTTAAAAGCAAAATTTAAAGCTACATTTTTCCCCGAAAAAATTATCTTCTTTTTAATTAATTTTATCCAGAAAATTTTCTCAGGAATTATTAAATAATGAAAGCCATCATGACAATTGAAAACAGGTAACTAATTTAGTTCACAAAATTTTGGACCATGAAAAAAACACATAACTAGATGACATTGTTTTCGCTTGTACAAGTCGCCGTTATCTTGCAAAAAAATTCTTAAAAAAAGCTTCAATTTGCAGAAAAAATAATTTTGAAGTTCTTTTAACGGTTTGAATGTTTCAATTCAAAGTAACAACTATCTAGTAGACTTAAGGCACGAGTTATTCTGAGCCAAAATTTTTATGATTTGAGTCTAGTTTTTAATGTTTTCAGCTTGTTTTTCAACGTGTTTAAAAATGAATGCTGATCTTGGAAATTTGAAGTGGTTTAATATTTTTTTATGGTCTAGAAATAACGAAATATTAGTTTCAAAGGTCAGTTTAGTTGCTTCAGTTTGAAAAATATTGGAATGAAAGAAAGCACCAAAAGAATCTTTAGAAGAGTTTTTTTTCCTTTTATTGGTGGCTTCACTTGCTTGCTTTTTAGTACATATGACTAAAAATATGAGTATTACCGATTTTTCAGAACATTCATTTTTCTTAAAACTCAGTTTTTGAACCCTTCGCATTTAAAATCTTAATTTTTGTACTCAATTTTTTCTCTACTCGACCTATACTATAAAACGATATTGCATCTATACCGCTTTTCTGTTCAAATTTTAGATCAAAACAGATTTTGCCTTCTTTTAATTGCCAAACAGCTGCATCAAGTCGAGGAATATTCAGCCTAGTTTTGGTCGGAAAATTCCTCATTCGATTGATAACGATTGTTTCAAAATATCATTCCATTAATCACACTCAAAAAAATGTTAAGGTAAAATTACCCTAAATGAGTTAAGGTAAAAAAAAATTAAGGTAAAATTTACCCTAACATTACCTTAACTTTACCTTAAAATATTGTTAGGGTAAAATTTACCTTAACTGAATTAAGGTAATTTACCTTAACTTAACCTTAATTTTACTAAAAATATTTAGGAATGCATTTAACTAAACAGGAATAAGGTTATTTGAGATAAACATTGGATCTCGTAGCCCACCTATCAAATTTTCAGTTCAACCATATAAGTGATAGAGATTTTTCTAAGTATATTTGTATGTATGTATTTTTGTATGTATGTTTGTATGTATGTATGTATGTATGTATGTATGTATGTATGTATGTATGTATTTATGTATGTATGTATGTTTGTATGTATGTATGTATGTATGTATGTATGTATGTATGTATGTATGTATGTATGTATGTATGTATGTATGTATGTATGTATGTATGTATGTATGTATGTATGTATGTATTTATGTATGTATGTATGTATGTATGTATGTATGTATGTATGTATGTATGTATGTATGTATGTATGTATGTATGTATGTATGTATGTATGTATGTATGTATTTTACCTTAACTTTTGTGTTTTTAAGGTAAAAATTTAAGGTAAAAACACCTTAATGTTAAGGTAAATGTAGTTAAATTACCTACTTTTTTAAGGTAAATTTTTAAGGTAAATTTACCTATAAAAAAAATTTTTAAGGTGTTTTTTAAGGTTGATACACCTTAACTTTTAAGGTGATTTAAGGTAAATTTTTAAGGTGTTTTAAGGTAAGTTAAGGTGTACTTAAGGTAGTGCAAATTTACCTTAATTGTTAAGGTGTTTTAAGGTATTTTTTAAGGTAAATTTACCTTAACTTTTTTTTGAGTGCAACGGAGAGAGTTGAGTGATATATCTATCAATCGTAGTTCCCTTCAATTGCAACTGAAACGAAATTATTTATTTAGATTTTTTTTCTTAATATCGAAAAAAACTGTTGAAAATTGTGATTGTTTGTTTTATTTCGAGCAAGAAAAGCGATCGAGGACGCTTGTGTAGGCTCAATTAGGCTGTTTACAACTGCCTTTCTAGGCTTTTTTTTCATTGTACTCAATTCAAAGTCTCTTTTGGGGATTTTCAATGCCATTTTGGGAATCAAAAATTTCAAAAAATCAAAAAGTTCTACAAAATGAATTTAATGAAAATGGAGTTTTTTTTCAGTTTTTTAGTCATTTTTATCAAAAATTGTTGTATTGTTAGTCTATGTTACTATGATTGTAGTCAAACTGGCCTAAAAAAATTCTTGCTTCAGTTCATTTTCGGAACTTTAAGAAATTCGAAAAAGTAAATCTCCATTTCGAGAAAAACCGTTTTGATATTTAGCTTTTTCGTCTAAATTTCGTGACTTTAAGAAATTCGAAAAAGTAAATCTTTTCGTGACTTTAAGAAATTCGAATAAGTGAATCTCAATTTCGAGAAAAACCGTTTGTTTTGATTTTTAGCTTTTTCGTCTAAATTCGAGCAAGTAAAGGGCTTCTTTCAACCCCGGATTTAAATTGTTCAATTTCGATTTCGACTACACCGTTTTTTTAAGTTCGAGTTTGTTTGATTCGATTTTGAGTTCAATTCGGCACCACCAAACAGAACGTTACGAATTAATAGTAACTGAAGAACTTAAAGAAAAAACCTGACAAAATTTTTTACCGATTTCTTATTAGTTATCTTCAGTTTTCTTCCAATTGGCTGTTACAAAAGATACCAAAGCAAACAAAAGTGAACTTAGAGAAGCGGCTATTACTATGATTAACGCTCACATGTATAAACCGCAGTAGATCGTGCGCCAGCTCCAATCTCTCAAAATGTCCAAAAAACCTAAAAATAATGCCAAAAAACATTTGACCTATAAAGATTAATTTTCGGTAAAATACACTCAAAACGATAAACTTCGGCATTTTCTATCGATCATAACAACAAAAATTTATAACTGCAAACTCAAAACAGGCTCTCAAAACACTGATATTTGACCTGCAGACGAATTGCTCTTTTTTAGAGGTCAGACCGAATCAAGTCTGAACCGTGTTTGAGATGAAAAACTGTTAAAGTTAGTCATGTGGGTGAAAAACTCCTCGAGTATACATGTATAAAGATTATTAGGTATGGAGTATACCTTTATTGAGAGGATTCGAACCCGGTCGACCGGCAGTTTGAACGATGGGTTATACGTTAGGCTATAGTCCTGTTAAGGAATCATCGTTTTTGTTCACTCTTATTTTCGTTACATGCATTTGCGCTGCAACCTCATCCGCCCCCAAATACGGAAGAACTGGAGCAGGCTTAACGGTCGATCGGGTAAGTTCGCTGTGGCTGGCTTAATGAGGACGCGACGTGCGCATCCGTCTTTGCCGTAGTTAAAATTAACTATTCGAGCAAGAGGGTAATATCATCGCGGGCTGTCGGGCTCAATCATCCATTCGAGATCACCTGTCTCAAGCGTGAATTCAACCTGAGTGTGCCACTTGACACGCTTATTCAGTGAAAGAACATATTCGCGAAGCCAACGAGACCAAATAGCGTTAGCGGACGACAGCGCTTGCACGTACCTCTTCTTGTGGTCGAAGTGTTCCCCAAGTAAACGCGGAGGAAAGCTTGTGGCATGTTTTCCGAGCAAAAAGTAGTTTGCGGTTAACGCTTCTAACTCACGTGAACTAGCGGGAGTGATTGGCCTCAAATTCAAAACCTGCTCAACTAAGCAGAGTGTTGTTCCTAACACCTCTTTAGTAACTACCCTACTGCCTAGTATATCGTAACTCACGCGCTTCACGCTTGGGACAAGGTGCTCCCAGGAGCCGCCATGATGGGGTGCGCCTGGCATGTTAAACTTCCAAACAACACACTTTTGTGCAAAAAATTGTCGGAGCCATGCCGTTCCAGTTCTTGAAGCAACCAAGTAATTCCTTTTCCGCACCAAGGAAGTTATCCGACCAGATCGTGCCTGGTGTCGCACGACGCGCACTGAACAACCTGCGTCGAGGAACAACACGCGTCGAGTAATATTGGGAGGCTGCGGGCCAACAGGTGAACTAGGATATTATGGGCGTCGATCAATTTTGGGTGCTTCTTATCAAACTCGGTATTCACTAGGCGCACAATCCGGCCAGTGGAACGAATGATACCTGTGAGTAGTTTTAACTGCTAGCTGTGAGTAGTTTTAACTGAACGGGGAAAGATTCCAACTGAGCAAGATGAATTAGTTTGTTTTCTGCAAAATCAAGTTCAGTGGGTTCGATGATCCGTAAGCCCTCACCGCGAAAATGTTTATGTAAAGGCAGCATCCTCAACATAAACGCGACAACTCTTTTTTAAAAGAACTAAACTTTTCCCAAATGAACCGGTGTTCTGGAAGTTTGATGGATGTGACATCGGTCACGAAGGAAGATGATGTCTCCAAGAAATCGGCATCACAAGAAGGACCCTTCAAACGAGTTTCCTTGACCACAGGTTTTCCGGGTATAAACGGCCAATCAGTAGTCCTGAGGATGTTTGGACCAACAATCCAGCTGCTATCCTTAAGGGTGTCCAAAGATATCCCCCTTGTACCAGAATGGCTGCTGTATTTAGAGAACTTAACAAAGCTATGTTTAATTTGCGTTATTCATATTATTTGCCTGTAATCGCCTGAACTTCAAAAATCTTTGAATACCGAAATATAAAGCTTCCCCGAAAACTTTATCTTCTTTTTTCTATTTTATTTAGGTTTTTTTATGGCTATTTGGAATAATGAAAGCCATCATGACAGTTGAAAAAAGGTAACTAAATCAGTTCTCAAAATTTTGGACCATGAAAATAACGCATAACTAGATGACACCGTTTTCGCTAGTAAAAGTCTCCATTATCTTGCAAAAACGTTCTTAAAAAAGGCTTCAATTTGCAGAAAACTAATTTCGAAGTTCTGTTAACAGTTTGAAAAGTTTCCATTCAAAGTAACAATTATCTAGTAAAGTTAAGTTTGAGTTATTCTGAGCCAAAACTTTTATGATTTGTGTTCAGTTTTCAATGTTTTCTTTTTTCTTTTTTCAAAATATTTATAGATGATTGCTGGTCTTGGAAATTTGAAGTTGTTTTGTATCTTCTTAAAAAGTTCTTCAAAAAAAGTAACCGTTACTCATTGACGGAATATCGCAGTGGAATAAAATTACGGCTAGACATGCTAGCCCTTGAACTGTGTCAAGATGTTTGCCGTGGGAAAAATCAAAATTATCTTCCTTTTTTACCGCGCGCATTTTGCCGTTTTTTTATGGGTCTCTAATCTTCAATAGTTATTTCAAATCAGTACTAGAAATTGGCAAAATTTTTTTTTTCTGATTTGATAATTATGGTAAATTGAAATGAGCAAAAGATAACTTAAGTGGGTTCTCTATGAGTTAGAAAAAGCAGTGAGGCAAACTTTTTGAACAAAATCGTAAAATAATTTCAAGTAATACAACGCATCATCTCTATTCATGTACTGAGCTAGCATGAAAAACTACTCAAAAAAAAATCAAGAAGAACTTATTTTGTATGTATTCGAAGCACAGTGCCGCCTTTTTTAGAGGTAAATTTGCTGCTTATAGCTGAAAAGAAGTGATGTATATTAATTTATCGTGGCAGCTATTTGTTCGTGGCAAAAATAAACGATATTATGATTAGTTAATTGTTTTTTCTATTTTTTCAATTTTTTTTTGGGGGGGGGGGCGGAAAGGGTTGAAATCGGTTTCAAAGTTAATATGTTTGAGCATCTTTTTGAGGTAATATATATCTTATAAGAATATTTTTTTTTTAAATTAGGCCATTGTAGCAAACTTCTCAAGTCAACAATAATTTTTTTTTGTTATCTACTCGCTCAGTACACATTATCTACAGAAAAACAGATAATATGTCAGAAACTCGTTTGAAACAGGCTGCATTGAAAAGTGACTATATAATTCACTGATTTTTGGCAAAAAAAAATCAAATTTTTTCAGGATGGCACATCAACTTGACAACTACAAACTGTGTTTGGATTTTTATGAGCGCCTTGGCTGATTGCCATAAAGGACAGTTTAAACTGTATAAGCAATGGCAAGACTCTTCCTTAAGAGGAGATTTCATCCATGTCAAAGAGCGTTTTTACTGCGGAACTGGCTTTTGTGTGATTGATCCAAGAGAAGACGCTTCCTTAATTCCTCGAATCATGGGCTCTTTGAATAATCATAACAAAAAAAAACCATGGGCTCTTTTGTTAGTTTAAAACAGTCTAAGGGGGAATGAACTCAATTTTTAACTCTTTTTGTCAGATGCAATTAATGATGAGACATTTCGTTTTCGGGTACTTTACCATTTGCCCTACCTAATGATCCGGTTGTTGTGAAACTTGGCGCGCACGGATTACCACTTCTAAACACATTTGGCCATCTTTGTTCTAAAATGAAAGGTTCGTATGCAGACGCGGATCTCGGAAATTCTCGGAAACCCGATTTTTGTTCAAAGATTTTCAAAAAGTGCCTAAAACCTTTTTTGACCTGTTTGTTTTCAAAATTGCTTGAAAATCCAACCCTCCCCCCCTTCACCCCCGAATTAAAAAATTTGCAATCAACAGGAGCAGATAAACGCTTTTTGCAAGGGAAATAATTGCAAATTGCGCTGACGTTTTTTGAGTAAACTATAATGATTTTTCAACGTCTCCCAAAACTACAAGAAGTCTCATAATAAACCAGAAAATTACCAAAAGTTGCAGGAAAAACTACCTCGCAAGAAAAAGCCGTTAGCTCAAAAAGGGTATAACTGCCGTACATTGCAACCAAGAGTTATCCGCAATTCACACAATTATGATATTAATCGAAAAGTTTCAAAGAGCCCCATTAAAGAAACCAAATTTTTACGTTCTATATTTGGATGACGAGTTTATGGTGGTCTACATGTGTAAAATATGTCTGGGTGGAGTATTTGGCTTGAGAGAACAGATGGCAATCTTGTTTTCCCGGATCCAGTATCCAGACCGAAGGAAGGTTTATGAAATAGAGCGGGTCCTCATTAAACAGGGTCTGAGATTGCTGATGATCAATGTGGAGACAATGGGATGTTCACCAAATAAACAATTTAAACAAGTCAGGAATGATGTAAATGATGAATTCAGATAAACACAAACAAAATTCTAATTATACCTGTTTTTTAACTTCTTGAGTTCAAATCTGCAACCATTTTACGTTACAACCACAAAATTATTTCTGGTCAAATAATGAATTTTATCTGGAAATCAAAATACCTCGAGCACATACTCCGTTACTTATTCCAGAAATTGGAGATAAAAACACTCAATTAGCTATCCTACATTTATTGTTTTAATTTCATCCTAAAACCTTTTAAATAAGTAACCAGTTTTCAAAGATTGAAAACTTGAACTTCTTAATTGCTCGCTCGAATCTTTGGCTCTTTGAATATTTATTACGCAAAAATACTTTGTGATCAATTTCCTTGTAATTTTTACAAAACGGTCTGAGAGGAATACAAGAATGAATTTAACAGCAATTTCAATGATATTTTCTTCTTGATCAAAAGCACATTTTTTTTCGGAGAAAGCCATAATAAAACCAAGGAAAGCCGGTAACTGTGCAAGCAGCACAGAATGTTCCGACCATTGTCTTAGAAAATACAACAAAGTATTTTCAAATTATTTTCGTTTTTTTCGGCGTGGTGTGATAAAAGGAGCTGAACATAAAAACGGGGGATTAGGTATAGTCGACAGCCATACTAAAATAAGCACATCGAAAAACAGTTTTTGTAGAAAAATTACTACAAAAAAAACGAAAAAAAAGTATTGTAAGCTTTCAAGCAATAATAATAATACTGCTCGCTCGCTTTATTTGCTGGAAAAAAGATGGAAAATCAAAAATTTGATACCGGTTTTTCCTAACTCTGGAAATTTTTCCATGGTGATTCGAATCGCAATTGTAAGGGCTTTATTATGATGTATCACTCAACCCAGTCCGCTCATTAATTGTGGTACCTGATTTTGCATGAAAAACAAAAAGAAAAAACTAAACCACACCCGAATACAAAGTTCCTCCTCATTTTCTATGGTCGGAACAGGGATTATTAACTATTTTCTAAAACCTTCAACTAGGAGGAGAAAAATGCTTTAAAGAAACGAATGCAGAAGATTAAGAAATAAAAAAAATCTTAAGCGAAGACCGAGTAAGAAAATTTTGAGCTTACTACATCGCAATATAAAAAAGCATTCAGTTTAGAAAGGAATCAGTAATTTGAAAAAATAAAGGTTTTTGAAGTACCAAGGAAATGGTTTTTCGGACCTGAAAAATCCGTTTCTTATCTGTATTTCAGTCCTGAAATAGGTTGTGAAATATTTGTTTTTCTTTTCCATTTGAGATCTGAAAAAAATTCGATTCAGATCCAAACTTAAAATCTGAGACTTTCAAATTTTTTATCAAGATCTGAAGTATATCTTCAGATCTGAGAATCAACTAAAATCTGAGAATTTAAGAAATAAGGAATTCCTGAATGTTTCTACAGGGTTTGAATTTCTATGGACTAATTGAAATTAAAATAATTGACGAAATCTCCGAAAAAAATGAGATTTTTTGACAATCCTTTCCCGAGCCGACAAGCTTTGCAAAGTACAAATTGATATAGTTTGCTTTTAGCAAAGTATTAAATAGAGCAAAGCACATACTTCAATCCAATTTTAAACAAAACCTAAGACACAAAAAATCTCCGTGTACTCGTTATTAGCAAGATATATATCGCGCGCTAATTGTCCCAATTGGGCCAAATTGGCAATTTTCAAACCTCCTTAGTTTTACGAAAAGTGTTCACAGATGAAATAACGTTTTGATCTTGAGCTCAGTAAAACAATACTTTTTGCATGATTTTTTCTAAAAGTCCGTCAAAAAGGCTAAATAAAAAGTCGAATTTGGTCGAGTGGAATTGAAAACCAACGGAGCGCAAGTATTCCAACTTTTTCTTCAAAAATAGTTGAAACAACAAAAACAAAGCCCGAACATCTATGATGACTTTTCAGCAGTTGTTAATTAGCTGCACGTAAGAAATCTCATGGTCACGTTGACTTGAATAAATATTTGACAAAACTTTGAAAAATACTGATTAAATTTTTCTTAATTCCAGTTTAATATGACAGCGTAGAAAGTTTTTTCCGCTCAGCAATTAAAATTGATCTACACAGATCTGATAATGCGCAAATAGTTTGACTATCAGCATAATCAAAACCAATGCTTATAACAAAATATCTCAAAAAAAATTTCTGGGTTAGCTTCTAAAACACCGGACCTTCAAACATCATACAACTCTTATGAACAAGGAATTAAGTTTTCAAGGTCATACCGACAGTTTACAATTAACTATATTCAATGTACTAGAGTACCGATCCCGTTAAGATGTGTCAAGCAATCTTCTTTAAGTAAAAAGTTATAGGCAACAATTAGTATTTTGTGATTTTGATTGCGTAATGTGGTTATGCAAGGAATTTTGTGAAGAGAACGCCAATCTGAGATGCCGTTTTCATTAAAAATTTTAAAATTTATTTTTTTTATTTATGAACTAAAAATTGGCAAAAAGTTTGAACTTTTCTTCATTCAAAAAATATTTTTTATAAATAAAGCTTTGAATTGCTAAATTAAAAACCTCCAACTTTTTTATCAGGTTTAGAATCAATAGCTCGGTAACGTATTGCATGCTCGCTTAATTATTTGAGACCCATTGTCTGTACAGTTAGCTTCTACTAAAAACATATGGCTAATGCAGACTTCAATTAATTCAATTTTAAATTTGGAATGCTTGAAGATGAAAAGCATTGTACTTTTTTATTCTAATAGGTTTAAGGGTGTGTCTATAAGAGGCATTCGGAGCTTCCGTGAACTTTTGGTTGCATAGATCAAATCCAATGTTTGAAAATTCCTTCTTCCTCGTGAAGTGAACCAGCATGAGATGTTTCTAGTTATCGCAATTGTATGGTCCCTCGGGCTATGAATTATTTCTGATTGCCGTTTATTATTGCGCCTAAAATGGAAACTTGAATAAACGATTAGTTTTGTTTCTTCTAGTCTTCCAAAAATTGTTTATAGGGATTACAATGGTGAAAATTCGATATCACACCCTCTCTTTAAAAGTTTAAAGTTTATACTTGAAAAAATCAAGCCTAGTGAGGCCAAACTTTGCAGAATGGGCGGATCGTTTTTTGTTACTAGGTCACTGAAATTCTTGCCCATTATTGTTTCGACTTTCATAACGAAAGTAACGGAATATTTGTGTTCGGGGTATTTTTTTTCTTCAGACAAACTTCGACTTTTTTACTAGCCATTTTTGACAAAATTTTTTTATATCATTTGTATTATCTCCCCACATTCGAGTTAGTGTTATTTTGTTGAGCGAAGCCTTTTTTTGCGACTCAAGGCCGTTTTTTTGCGTCTAGAACTTACACGTGGTGCCACTATTGCAGCGAATTTGGTCAGTTTGTGGTAGACCTGAAGCTAGAGGTCAAGTGAGAGCTCGACTTTTGAGCTTAAGTTTCAAAAGCTATTCACCTGTGAACATTTTTCGTAAAGTTATGGGGGTTTGAAGATAGCCATTTTGGCCAATTTGGGACAATTAACGCGCGATATATTTTGCGCTATTAACGCGTAAGCGGAGATTTAATCCGTCTTAGAAATCGTGCCAAAATAGTTGAAGGAAGCTTATTTGTCATAACTAGGAGATGTAACTAGGATAACTAGGAGATGTAACTGATTTGTAACTAGGAGCGAAATCTATCACTTTGTATTGGTGGATCAGTTTCTCAAGAAATCTCGAGTTTTAAAAACTTTTGTTGAATTATGTTCTACTATAGTTAATTTTTCATGTTATAACTGCTTCATAGACCTTGCAAGAGCGTTGGAACATTCACAGTTTAGTCCTGATACGAGCAGGCTTGATGGAAATTTAAATGGATTCCAATTATAAAAATTCCGTTGATTGCTTGTAAGGTAAATTTTGTTGGCACATTAGTTGTATCGAGGAGTATGCAACAGGCGAAAAAGGCAGATTGTTTTAAATTTTGCAAATGTTAGCAATTTTCCCAATTGTAAGTGGATTGCGCAAAATTATATCATATAAGGATATCAGCAAATTCCGAACTTTGCAAGCGGATTCCGCATGATTGAAATGTATGATGTAGTAATGAACACATATTCAATTCC